CGGACATCTCTCGGGAACCCTTTCCTGACTCTGCATTCACCTCCTGTTTTATTTCTGGGTCTTCCTATGGGAAATGAGACTCGAGAGGAAAGGAGACCAGCCCCACGATGTATGTTAGGTTTTTAATACAATATTATACTAATGTGTTTCCAGTCTGTGTGCTAGTTTTGTTTTGTTGTTTAAGGTTGTTGACACTGAGATGGAGTAGTACCTGGATAACTTTTACCTTTAACCCTAGGTTCTCAGGCCAACGGCCACCAGCCACTGCGCTCGCTGCCTTCCGTGCGCCAGGATGTCAGCCGGTACCAGCGGGTGGACGAAGCTCTCCCACCAAGTGAGGACTGTTGGCTAAAGGGCTCCCCTGACCAAGGGGGGCAGGGGTGACAGGACCCTGGGGACCTGAAAGAGGGATGCCCAGGCCCCTGGAGGGGGCGGCCTGGGGGCTGCCACCTGACGTAGCCAATGTGGTGTGGAAGGTGACCCCTGTGGAAGGTGACCCCTGTGTGGAAGGTGACCCCTATGGAAGGTGACCCCTGTGTGGAAGGTGACCCCTGTGGAAGGTGACCCCTGTGTTGAATGTGACCCTACCCTGTGGAAGGTCCCTATATGGAAGGTGACCCCTGTGGAAGGTGACCCCTGTGTGGAAGGTGACCCCTATGGAAGGTGACCCCTGTAGAAGGTGACCCCTGTGTTGAAGGTGACCCCTGTGTGGAAGGTGACCCCTATATGGAAGGTGACCCCTATATGGAAGGTGGCCCCTATGGAAGGTGACCCTGTGTGGAAGGTGACCCCCGTGGAAGGTGACCCCTGTGTTGAAGGTGACCCCTGTGGAAGGGGACCCCTGTCGAGCTCTGTGCTGTTGAATGAAGGGGCAGCTGGGAAAGGTAGGGACTAAGGGGCCCGGGGAGTGAGTAGTGCGTCAGGGGAAGAGAATCAGGTATCAGACAGTGGGATTATAATACATGTTTTAATATGTGCCTAATGGCAGCCTGCGTTCTCAGTTGGTGGGCAGTTTGGTTCAGTCTCTTAGGAAAAGCCTCTGTGTGATAGACGGCTGCTTATCCACTGGCAGCGTTTTAAATCACTACGTCCAGGCGCCTGGGTTTTCTTACACAGACAGGTGTTCGTCATTTCAGACATTAACCATTTATTTGGAGCATGACCGTGGTCTGGGGACTTGAAAGATATTTCGCTTCTTCCATGTTCAGGAAGCGCATATCCCTGGAAGGCTGAGGGCTGGGGACGCTGGGAGCTAGCTCTGCACCTGCAGCCAGAGGTCTAGTGATGCCCACGGCCAGGCGTCACTGGGGCATAATCTTAACACTGTGCATGCCCCTGGGATTCCTGAAAGCAGTATTTCCCACGGAGAGCAAAGCGTTTTGCTGAACAAAAGTAACACTCAGTAGCCACTGCTTTTGGGATCATATTGTTGGAAAAGACATTTTTCTACCGTATTGCTTTCCCTTCTTAGTCACCCCCTCTCACCCATCTTATATGTGATCCTGGCAAGAGGCGGACGCCTTTGGCCTTCTGAACTTTAAAAGTGATGGGACCTGGGGGCGGGGGGTCAGGGGAGTATGCCTTAAAGGCCAACATGTGAGTGGTGAGGTTAAGGGAATGCCGGCAGAAAAGCAGGGTGGGGCTATGTCCAGTTTGTCCAAATATTGGCCCGACCGTTTGAAATTCTGTGCACATCCCTAGTGCATACACGTGGGTAGCCGACGGCAGCTACTCCCAGGAAACATGTATTTTAAGCAGTTTTTAAAAGTCAACCAAGAGATTAATCCTTGTGTTATCATAAGCAAGCGGGGGGAGGGGGAGAAAGAACTCCCTTATTGTCAACCCTTGGAGAAAAGCTCAGAGGCAGGAAAGAAAAGTATTCCCGGGAGATACTTAGATCTCACGGGAGGAGAGTGAATTGGGAACACCAGGGGCGAATTCCGAGGAGCTTCGTGTGGGTGCGTGTGTGGGTGCGTAGCAGGTAAACAGAGTCACGGTGCCTGGAGTAGGCACCCCATTGCATTGCATCACATCGCTGTGAGGATAGATGGTGGCCCCCCGGCCACATCCAGTTGCCCTGATTTTTGCTGGACCATGAATTCGGCCCCAGATTGTATTTGATAAAGACAGGTCCTTTCCTGCTTAAATGACGACCGCTCTTTGTGATCTGTCAGTGCATCTGTGTGCACGCTGCTCTTTTCATTTCCTAAATACATTTCAGGATTTTAAAAATAGGAGCCACTGGTAGTTCATTTGAGTAAGTGGATCTATTCAGAAGTAGAAAGGCAATGTTATAGTATATCCGATTTAATGAGTGACTGATGAATTGGGAGGAAAATTTGTAAGAGTTGTTTCCTTGAGTTCAACTTGCAAAAATGGATGGGGGTGGTTATGTGACACTGGATAGGTTAATAGATTGAGGCCTCAGCGTACCCGATTCCTGTTCACCTCTGTCCCCACACCGCTTCGTCTCATCCTTCAGGTCTTCTGTTTAATCTCACAGTTTCTACCATGTGTAAGGCTAAGGAAACTCTTGTTTTCTAGGGTTTAAAAGTGAGTTTTGAGAAAAGAATGGATACTTTTCATCTAAAAAGCGACTTGCATCAAAATGAAAGATCAAGGCACAAAATATACAGCTATTTGAGATCCTTTACAACTTCTTATTCAAACACGCGAGGCAGAGAGGACCTCAGCCTGCTGCACCCCCAAACCGAGTGCACCTGTGCCACCAGCCTCACCACTGGCACCTCCCAGTCCTTTCCCCCGCTTCCTGTCACCCCCAAAAGGGCAGGGGCCTGCTCTCCGGGCTCCAGAACCATAGATCTGATCCACTGACTTTTGTACTTCAGACCAATATTTCTTGGGGAAAATTCTTATTCAGTTTGTTCAAGGAAAAAGTTTCATCTTTGAAAACAAGTTTTTTTGCTTTTTTTTTGGGGGGGGGGTCAGAAAATGGCAATGTGCTTTCTTTTCAGCTTTAGCTGCCAGAAAAGTTAGCCAAGTTGTAGTCATTACCTTATCTGGGGAGCCTGGCAGCATCTCTCTTCTGCTTCCTGCTCGTTGCTTTCGCTCTGTTGTCATCCCCAGGTGGCCTATCCTGTTTGTTTTTCACTGGAAGCGGCCGCACACATTCCCGGGGAGGGGCACCCCTTTGTGTCCATGGACGGTTGGTTTGGTTTGATACAGTGGAGCGGATGCCTGGGGTGTGGCAGCCCCACTGAGAAAGGGCCGAGATGGGAATACTCGGTTCTCAGGAACATTGGGATGGGAACGTATGCAAGGGCGGAGCTAAACAACGAGTGGCCCCGAGGGTTTGGAAAGTGGGCCCTGGAAGCGCCATCCTGTGGCTGCTCCTTGTCAGCGGGTGGCAGGTGGAAGTGTCCTGTTGAAGGGGGTGCGGCTGTGCCCGAAAAACTCAGACCTGGGGGGCTGGCTCCTTGTGCGTCTGCTACCTCAGGGCCTGAGTGGCTTGGAGGGGTTTGTATTGTGTGTGTGGTGCTTTTCCTCCGCCCAGTTTTCCTTTCCTTTGCCACACGTCAGACATCACCATGTGTTGAGATCAACGAAAAAAAGACCTTTTGCTCCTCCCCCAGCCCCCCCGCATCCCCTCTCCCACCCCCTCGTCTCTCCGCACGCAGCCCTCCCTGATTGCCTGGTGCCGGCTGGGGTGGGGCTGGGGTGGCGCATGCAGCCTTGCCAGCCCTCGGACTTGGGGAACACTTGCCCGTTCGCCTCCAAGCAGTGCCATGGTGGTCGGGGCAGACGTGCTTCTGCCCGGTCCCCAGGGTGAGGCCTGTGGTGTCTGTCGATAAGTTACGCAATCACACCAGCGAGTTTTGAAATAATCAAGTTGCTTAGGAGAAAGGGGCTTCTTGATGTGGAAATATCATGAGGATAGAAGTAGAAATGTGCGAGGACGTGCCTGGTTAAGGAGCAGACCTCGGCTGTTTTCCCCTGAAAATCACTCTTCCCGACTGCCACCGATACTAAAGTTTTGCCTTTTGAAAACATGAGCTCACGCTCTGGGTACTTTACTGGGGGAATAGCCTTGGACAGGGTCACGGAGCCGGGGCGTGTGGCTCCGAGGACCCGTCTGCCAGCTGTGTGCACGGAACATGCCCTTATACGTTTGTTTACAAAGACGCACACACTAAATCAATGAGACCGCTCACGCTCACAGTTACACAGTCTTTTAAAACAGCACTGATTGGAGGTGGGAGGCAGTAGGTACCCTCGCTCTGACCATGTGTTCGTCTTCGGAAACGTGCGAGTGGAAGTGCGGAGCCCCCGATGCTGTGTGCTGACTGGGCTGCATTCTTTCCTTCTGAAGACTATTTACTAAAATTGAACGTAAATATGCGCATGGAAGTTTCCAGCGGTGATTTTTTAAAAATTTTTTTTAAAAATTGATTTCATAGAGAAAGGGAGAGGGAGAGAGAGATAGAAACATCAATGATGAGGGAGAATCATTGATCGGCTGCCTCCTGCCCGCCCCCTACTGGGGAAGAGCCTGCAACCGGGACATGTGCCCTTGAACAGAATCAAACCTGGTACCCTTCAGACCACAGGCTGACGCTCTATCCACTGAGCCAAACTGGCTAGGGCCAGCTATGAGATTTTTATGTAAGTTGGGGGAAAAACAGGAAAAAAACAATCTTGCTTTAGGGAAAACAAACAGGAATACCAATTTTGATGGAAATATCTAAAGCATTAGGATACCAATGGCTTGTATTTTTAAAATACTGGTGCTCATCTCTGAAGGATGAGTGTCGTGGACAGATCTGTACATTCAGAGTGTCTTTAAAGGGCTGACATTGTGCACAGAGGATCTGGTCGCTAACTGGGCACAGCAGATTCAGGTGCAGATGGAGGGGAGGTGGCGGATTATGCGCGGAGGTCTGTGTCAGTAGCCCCAGATGATAGTGTGTTGGAGGGGAAGCGGGTGCTGAGTGAATGGACCACGTGGGCGGCTCGGCTCCTTCTAACCCCTCTGGGTGTGTTGCTGCTGTTTAGACTGGGAGGCGCGCATCGACAGCCACGGCAGGATCTTCTACGTGGACCACGTGAACAGGACCACGACATGGCAGCGGCCC